ATTCTGAACTGAAAACTTTATTTAATCTACGCGGGTAGACTGGTTTCGACCAAAGCAAATGATCTGAATTTATTTATTAAGACACGAAAATCTAAAAAATAATCTGTCTTTTAGAAATACTAATTCCAATCCTGTCGATTCACTGATGTCAGGATGATCGAATTTAAAATCAAATTTCTTTGTTTTATTTACTTGAAAATATATTCAGTTTAAATACAAAAGTCATACAAATAACTTCAAAATAGAGAAGGAATCTTAAAAATGATTTCAAAGTACAGAACACCTAAAAATGACATCAAAATACAGAAGTAATAAAAATGACTTCAGAATTTAGGAGTCATAAAATGACTTCAAAATACAGAAGTCATAAAATGACTTTAAAATGCCTAAGGAATCATAAAAATAACTTCAAAATGCATAAGACCTAAAATGACTTCAAAATACAGAAGTCATAAAAATGACTTCAAAATAGCGAAGGAATCCTAAAAACGATTTCAAAATAGCGAAGTAATAATAAAAATGACTTCACAATACCGATGGAGTTATAAAAACGACTTCAAAAATATAGAAGAAGCCATAAAAATGACTTCAAACGTTCGACATATACTTTTTCTGTTATTAGATTTCGTTGCTAAACAGAAAGTGTTCAGTTTTCTTCAAATTGTGTGTGTATGCACGTTTGTGTGTGTATGCACGTTTGTGTGTGCGCATGTACATTTTAATTCAATTACAGACGTAGCCGAGTGGTTAGAACGTTCCCATTCTGACCATGAAACCCAAGTTCGAATCTCATCAGGTCGATTTGTCAGGAAGGAGACTTTCTGATGTTATCGGACTGTAGGGTTCGATCCCAGCGTGCGGCACCTTTGGAAAGTGACTGAAATCTATACCACGTGTTGATTCAAGCCTTGTGAGTCGAATGGTTAGACGGAACCCTTAGGTACCGTCGATAGATGAGCACGAAGTCACAAGTCATCGTGGTCGAGGGCTTGTGGATGATGGCCTTTTTCAAACTGTTGATCACGCTAGATAACACGCTCTTTTACAGAAACTGTAACTAAGGTCTGCTCAGCATAGTTGCATTATAAACCACAGGTGGGCTCTGTGGGTGTTGAATAAACACAAATGCGCCAGAGCAAGCGTCTGCAATAGGGATTAACCAGCCGCCCTAGTAGTCGAATATCGTCGAATACAAGTGGCCAGCTATACATACAGACCTAAAAATATGTCTATAGAATTAAAAAAAAAAAGTTAAAAAATCATTACTGAATAATTTCAGAAAATTTCGATAATATTTATAATTATTTGATTTTTTGGGGGGAGATGGGGAGGGTTAAAAAATAAGTCTTTTTATTATCTAGTCTCCAACTTTATTATAATGTTCAGCCAAGAGTAGATGTTGTCCGGAAGAAGAATGTATTATTTTAGTCTTCCAAACTCAGTCAAATGTTTCGTGTATGTGTTTGCGTGTGCTTGTCTATATATTAAATGTAAGTTTCTCACGCGCAACACGGACATACACATGTATATTACATAATCACACGTGACAAGTGACAAGCTGGCAGTGTGTGACGGACAGTGAATAAATTTTTTTTTGTTATATAGATTTTAATTGTAACTTAGTTAAGTGGCATACGTGATACAAGGTTGGGCGGTCATGTCTCTTTCGATTCGTCACTGACTATCAAGACGATGGAGGCATGAAAGAGTAATGAATTGCAGCTTGAATTGAGGAATCGGAGAGCCGAGTTCGAATTCCAGTCGATTTCATTACATTCACTTATATTCACTCACTTGGGAAAGGTATAAAACCAACTCTTCACCTCCCCATGGCTAAATAGTAGTTCTTTACCCTTGGGTGGCAACCAGTCTGGAGATGGTAACTTTACAAAATCACCCATCTCCCACTATGCCTGGGCCACCCATGGGGATACATCAGCCTATGAAAACGCACACTGGCTCAGACTTCTCAGACGTATGAGTTGCACATTTTGCTGCAGGCTGAGTAAGTATTTACTTTTTTTTATTAGGCAGATGTTCTCGCTGTAGATAGCCGTTTTTTTTCAGCGATAGGCTGGTTGCCATCCAAGACTATAGGACCCATTTTCTGCTATTCAACCCATATCTGGATGGGTATCAGCGCGTAAGTGAATGTAATGAACCCAACTGGAATTCGAACTCGGCTCTCCGATTTCTCATTCCGAAGCGTTATCCATTAAACCACACGCTTTAATTAAAATGAAAAATATTGGCTATTATAATAGAAACGATCATATTCCATTACCACTTGCATCATTGTGTTTGTGTTGACACTTATGAATTGTAAATATTTTTTGGACACTGCCAAACAAGGCTTGCGAGATAAGTTCACATCTTATCTCTCTCAAGCAGATTCTCTTTTGCACAGTAATTTGAAGAATTTCATTTTAGAAAATATTTAAGAATTTAAATTTTTTAGAAAATCTTTTTAGCATTTAAAATTTGTAAACTGGATCTCGCAAAATCTAATCCAACGCTCTCACCGCGTAACTGCAGCACACATCAACATAATAGATTTTATAAGAAATAAAACATATTTGTCGTGTGTCGGCACAATTTAAAAATCAATTACTGACAATGTTGTGACACACAGTTACACATTGTCTTCACTTTTTCAAGTACAATCGAATCTGTATGAAATACTCTGCCCGAGAATTTTGAGTGTTTCGGTTTTTGGTGGTACCCTCGGGTAATGTTCTGATGGAATAACGATATATTACTTTCGAGTAGTTCGATAACTTATTCTATTTTCCGTTAAATAATATTTTTACTATTGAGACTCTTCTTCCTTGCAATTTTACTATATTTATGCCGAAGGCGAATGTTTGATATAAGTAATCAAACGCCAAACACTAAAGAGTTCTTCTTCAACTGGGAAAAGATATATGCAAATTAGTTTAATCATATTTCACTAGTATGAATATGAAAATCAGTCAAAATTGACTCGTGGGCATATACGTCAATCAGCTTATTCACAATTAACTGTCTGGTTTTCACACATTTTTTTTACCCATATACCACTTTTACTCTTAATTCTTCTTTTCAGCGGACCCCATAACCATTCAATCAAAAAAAGCTTATTTAATTGTTACTAATAGATAAGTTTAGGAATAGGATTATAGAAATTTCTAAATGTATATGATTTATTTTGACGTAAAACTGATTCAATGAAAATAAACTTCATGGGAACCAGCAATAAGGAGTGCCAGAGAAAAGCGATAATAACAGCAAAAATTGCAATATGAGTTCTAGTAAAAAGCATAAATTTATAACAGCAAAAATTGCAATATGACCACTGTTAAAATATGGTTGCTGAAGACATTAGGTTTATAATACCCAGAAATTCATACACAGATGACAAATGGCATAGTGGATAAAGGCGTTGGTTAGATCCAGTGAACGGACCCAAAGAGTATGAGTTCAATACCTGGTTAAAGCAGTGGAGAATTTGGAGAGGGGAATTAACAGGAGATAACTGATAACTGACATCTAGAATTACTCCAGATAATAATAATAAAGAACGGAGCGTACTTTATATATGACGACAAAGACGACATTTATTCGGACAATAGTCCGAATAATATAAATAGTGCACATCATACCTCATATCAGAAATATAGACAGATACTGAAAATAAACTTGTATTTAACAATTAAATTCTATGAAACATTTATGTATACTAGTAAGTTCAATATACTAGTAAAATAACTCATAATAAACCATTTTAAAATATGTGAGTAATTAATAAATTAAAAAAAGTGCATATTTACTTAATGAGATCCTGTGGTTGATGCTACTCCGCGAGAATTTTTTTAATATTCGGCTCCATCGATGTCAATGGTAGTCGAAGGTCGCCCCTTTTCACTATATTAATTAATTTATATTAATATATTAACGTTTAATTTTATTTTTTAATATTCAAAATTAATATAACTATTTATTATTAATATATTAAATTAATTTATATAATAAATTATAATCTTTATATAATTTTTCTTTTTATATAAAACCCTTCCTTTATATATCCTTCTCAATTTTTATTCAACTTTTACAATCAAACATCCGGTAGAGTAAAAGGACGCTAATCTAAATCGCATGATTTAGTTTTTTGCTAGTTTTAGAGTTGTTTTTCTATTTTTAGTATTTTAATATGGCTCTAGATTACTGTAGAAATTCCAATTCTCAGTTGCAACAACCGTGCCGAAGTGAAATTGCTCTATGGACCAATAAAATATTACCGTTGACCTCCAATTTGATAATTTTTTATGTGGACCCCAGTAATATTACATGCACCCTGAGAATTCATATAGTCCCCGGTGGAAGATTGCTGATCAAGAATATGTGTTAGGTTGGTGCAAAAATAATGACGTAATGATGTCGTTTTTTGACGTTAAAAAATACGTCCAAAAACGACATTATTACGTCATTTTTGCACCAACCTAATACATCAACGTAATGATAATTAAACAGTGTAAATATGAAAATTAGTCATGATTAACTTGAGGGGTATATGCAATCAACAATGAAGAATAAGCAAATCAGCTTTATCTCTCGAAACAGCAAAGTCAGTTGCCATCACGATCGTGCCACTTGACGTCTTTAGATTTCTTCCTTTGGGGTCATCTCAAAAGTAAGGTCTATGCCAACAAACCAACAACAATTAAACAGCTGAACGATGAGATAATAAGGCATATTAGTGAGATCGAGGAGCAACTATGCAGATACGTCATCAAAAATTTTGACCATTGAGTGGAGGTGTGCCGTCGAAGCCTTGGCGGACATTTGGGCGATATTATATTTCACTCGTAATTGCCATGACTTAAATAACATCATCCAATAGACTTTGATCCGTCTTAACGAACACCCTTTACAATGTATATATTCAGTAATGAAAGAAGAAAGGAATATTATAGATAAATTTAAAATACTTTTCTATGTAATTTAGTGTTCTTTCTACCATTTTAAAGAACCAGACAGCTGAAGATACAAAGAAAAACATCATGTGTAATATGCATATGCAGAAATGAATAAAGAAAGAATAATATTTGAGGTAAATCTGAAATAGTGTTCATGATATTATCTTTCATTGTTTATTACTTTGTAGATAAAATATTGGAAAATTCAATCTAAGCGTAAAAGCAAGGAGAAAAAGAATGAGATCAAATATTCCGTTTTCTACAACCTTAGAAAATGTCTACACACAACCTTTTTTTTTTGTTTTGTTCAATTTATTTGGCTTCTGTGTTCAATCTAATTCGGAACTATAAAACTTTACATTTACAAAGCAAGAGCTGGACCATTGTGATTTACCAACACTTAAAGATAAAGTAAATTAAATAATAAATAAAATTTATCCATAGTAATTAATTTTGTATCCGTTTCACAGTTATACAGACAAGATAGGGAAGATACAATGAGTCAATAATATATAAGAATGGATAGAAGAATATTATAGAGAAATATAATACGTGCTCAGAATATTATTATATACTAAGTGATCTTGAGGATCCTAGGAAAAGCGATACAAAGACGCACTGAAAGGCCAATAACAGCCCTAAAGAGTGGAGAGTAATTAGAGAGGAAAACGGCGTCCAGCAGTCTATAGGGGCTCAGAGACATGTAATGCCAAGAGAGTGACTGCAGCTAAGCAATGCTGGTAGGCAAGAAAGGACAATGCCATCAGATCTCTCATTCTTACTGCCTCTTGCATTTCTCATACTGCCAGAGACAATTCCGTGTGCAGATCGCACTAACTAACCTTCTGCGTACGCAAAAAGCCCGACCACTGCAATAAGACTAGATCGACGGTGGGATGAACAATATCCATTTTACAACATGTTAGTTTAATTTGGAAAGATAAAAAATTAAAAATAAATGAAATAATAATAATAATTATTAAAATAAATAATAATAAAATAAATAATAATAATAAATAATACTAAGTAATACTAAATAATAATAAATAATATTAATAAATAATATTAATAATAAATATAATATAATAATAAATATAATATAATAATAAATATAATATAATAATGATAATAAATGATATGATATAATAATAATAAATAATAAAAATAAATAATAAAATAATAATAATAATAATAATAATAATAATTAAAAATAAATGAAATAATAATAATTAAAAATAAAAAATAAAAAAATTAATAATACTAATAATAATACTAATAATAATTATTAATAATAATAATAATGAATAAAGAATGAAAAAAGATCGATATGAATATGGCTATGTAGAAGAAATTCAAAGAGAAGAATTTAGTAACAGTTCAAAACAACACTATAAAATCTAATCCAAGAATGGCGAGATAAATAAAACCCATGAATGCAGCAAATGTAGACTTTTGGGGAAATAGAGGTAAGACAGGGAACTATCTAAGCAATTTGGGCCGCAAAGAATATATAAACAGTCATTACTGGGCGATCCACTGAGAACTATGCAAGTGACTACATTTTGACCGTACAGACATCTGGTATATACACAGAGTAGAATCTGACGACGAAAATGAGGCATAAAAAGTTATCTGCAACCTTGAAATTCAAATGGATCACCCAATTCAGGTCAGAAATCCAGATCAAGCACTCGTAGACAACAAGATATATACCTACGTAGTATATAAGAAAGTAAGAGAGAAACATAGCTAAGTATTTCGACCTTACTAAAAAATTTAGGAAATTGTGGATCATAAAAGTCACAGTTCTGCCAGTTGTTACAGGACCCTTCAGAATAATTTTAAAATTGATTTATTTGAAAGATTTTATAAAATGATAATTTTATAAACCACCAGCAACACAGGTAACATTAACCGTTTCCAGATAAGGAAACATTTAGCATTCATTGACCGAGCAGCCAGTGCTACTCTATGTTTATAAAATTAAAAAGTTCATCAAATGTTTTTATTAAAAATATTTTTCCCAAGCCACTAACTGTTATTGATCCTTCCAGTCTTGACAGGAGTTTCCTTTCTAATTTTTTGCTTGAAGTAGTGTTCAACGTCAGCATCTTGATTAAGTCATTATTTTCTCTTCGAGTTTTTTTTTTAATTTTTAATCATTTCATTCCAAGCAAGACGATAGTGCCAGTAGGACGCAGGAGTTTACGGGGAGTGAAAAAGAATGGGAAGACTTTAGGGAGGAGAGGTGAGGAGAAAAGTCAATAAAGATATGGGATTCAGGATGACGGAAGATAGCGATTGACGTCGCATTTAAATTTTTGACGGTCGTAGTTGGCAAGGAAGAAAGAAATCGGAAGGGAAATCCGTAGGTAAGAAGTGCGAGAAAAGACTCTATTAGAATAGAAAAGACGGTCGCATCTAGCTAGTTCAACAGTGAGATCTGGTCAAATTTATTTCCTTATGATCCCAAGTTTTCTTAATTCCTCATCCAGTCTGAATTTTAATCTCGTTATTTTCTCACCTTTATACATATACTGACCATTATACCATATCAGGTGTTGGCAATAATGATGAATGAGGAATCTGTCAGTTTCGAGAGACCGTGGATCTGTGACCCAAAGGTTATTCCACAACTGCAGATGGAGGCGAAGCATCTTTTATGGCTGTGTTGTTTTCTTTCTTTCGAGCAAGCATCGCCCAAGCATTAAGTCAGTATTTCTTCTTTCCTCGTTCCAGCCCTCGGAGTAATATTTTCTTACCTTTATACTTATCCATGACTAATGGTCTTTGCTGGGTTCGAATTCCTTCCTTTAGATTTGAAATCACTCACCTGAGAAAGAAATCCTTCCTATTTGAGAATCACTGGTTAAGCTTAGTTTAGTGAAAATCCCTCTTTAACTTAGTAAAGCTTAAGAACCATTATACCATGACAGGTGCTGGCAATAATAATAAATGTGGCACCCTTCAGTCTCGAGAGACCATAGATCTTCGTCCTAAAAGTTATCCCTCATCTGCTGATGGGGGCGCAGCATCTCATGGCAGTAAAGACTCACATAGGAGGGACAGTCTAGATTGCAACCAGTACATGAAGAACTTTCTTCCCCAATGTCAATGTGTTGTTTTGTTTCTTTCGATCATGATTCGCCCCGGCGGCAAACCTTCGTTCTTAGCCTTTCGCTCCAGCCCTCGGTATAAATCGCGTCTCCTCTCGATGTCCATGTCCATCGCCCTCATGGCCCTTTTGCAGACGCCCTTGAAGCGAACATGAGGTCGCCCTCGCGCTCCTTTGTGGGTGGCCATTTCCCCGTAGAGAAAGACTTTCGGAATTCTCCCATCAGTCGACTGTTGCTTCCTGTGTTTTGCCGTCTCGGTGAGGCGACGCTGGAGTGTCCTCTTTTATTGACCATTAGATCGTGTCAGGTGCTGGCAATAAGGAGAAGGGTCTGAAGAAATGATAATTTGTGTCATAGTTATTGTTTTCTTTTTAATCATTCCACCCCAAGCAATGGGTTAATGCCACTAGGACATAGAAAGTTACAAGGACTGAAAGAGAATGAGAAAACATTAGAGAGAAGTGATGCATAAAGGAATAGGATTCAGAGTGACAGAAGATTGTGAATGATGTAGAATTTAAACTTTTGAAGATTGTAATTGGTAGGGAAGCAAGAAATTGGAAGGGAGTTCCACGGGTGAGAGGAGCGAGAAAAAACATTAAGAATAGGAGAGACGGTTGCATCTAGCTATCAGGTCATCCCATAAGTTCTGTCCGAATTTTGAATAAAGAAAACTAGTGACCAAATGTTACATTTAATTACAGATTCAATCAATGTATTTTCCCTGATTATCTATGACTTCCTTCCATCTATTAACAAGCTTACTAATTCCATTACTGTAAGATTCTTTTGGCTTTGATTCGGAGAACTCAAAAATGTCAGTTTTAACCTCTTCCTGTGTTACAAAAGCTGTTTCTTCCAAATTATTCTGTAAGCTACGAAACAAATGGTAGTCTGAAGGAGCAAGATCGGGAGAATAAGGTGGATGAGGAATTTTCTCTCAGCCAAGTTCTTCGATCTTTTGTGATGTGATTCTTGCTGTGTGGGGTCGCGCATTGTCCTGATGAAACATCACCCCTTTTCAATTCACTAGAGCAGGTCTTTATTTACCTCAAAGCTTAGTTCAAACGCTCTAATTGCTGACAGTATATTTGAGCATTAATTGTTGCATTAGGTGGTAAGAATTCAAAGTGGATTATTCCTTGGCGATCTCACCCTTCTCGGCTGTGGCTGGGGTCCTTCCCCTTTACCAAGCCACTGTCTACGACGCTTAACATTTCGATAAAAGATCAATTTTTCGTCGCCAGTCACAAGTCTATCCAAAAAAGGTGAAACAAGTTGGCAAGAATGGAGAGAAGAGCAGATGTCAACTCGGAATTTGAGGTTGTTTTCAGACAATTCACGAGGCACCCATTTTCCAAGTTTATTCCGAGATGTTGAAGATGACGATGAACAGTTGTATCGTTAGAACTGAGAACCACTGCCAATTCCTCAACTGATAAAGCAGGATTTTCTTCAAGGGCTGCTTCAAGAAGCTTTTCATCAAACTCAACTGGACGTCCGGTTCGATCTTCATCTTCAAGGGTGAAATCTCCACCTCTGAATTTTGCAAACCATCTTCTGCAAGTTCTTTCATTCACACATTCCTCGCCATAAACTGAGTGAATGTTTCTAGCCGCTTCGGCTGCTGAGTTTCCTTTCTTGAACTGATAAAGCATTATGTGTCTCAAATGATTCTTGGGTACTTCCATGTTAGCAGGGTTTTAATCAAACAAAATTTAATTTTATTGTTCTCTGAAATAAAATTTGATCTGTTTAAATGCATCTAAACATAAAATAATGTTCAGATCCATTAGACATTATAAAATACTCTTTAAATTTCGTTCATTTTAACAAAAAGTTAAAATTCGGACAGAACTTATGGGATGACCTGATAGTTCAACAGTAAAACCAGTTTTAGCCTGTTTAATTCACTTAGTCGAGGCAGTAAGGAAAAAAGCTGATCAGAACAGTTGACATGAAAATATTTATAGAAAAGACAGATGGAAGTCACGTTACGTTGTTAAGAAAGTGACTGAAGTCGG